AGTTGAAATTCTAGGCTGGTCTTGCTAGCTAACAACAGCACATCATAGAAAATATCGGACAAACACATGTCTCCCACCTCTGACTGGGTGAAGTGCTTCATTAAAAACGAGTTGCCTTGTAGTAGAGTTTGAAGTCCGGTAGTGTGATGCCTCCCACTGTGTTCTTTTTGCTTAGAATTGACTTGGCTATGCGGTCTCTCTTTTGGTTTCATATGAAGTTTAAGGTGGTTTTTTCCAGTTCTGTGAAGAAGGTCATTGGTAGCTTGATGGGAATAGCGTTGAATCTGCAAATTACTTTGGGTGGTATGGCCATTTTCACAATATTGATTCTTCCTAGCCGTGAACATGGAATGTTTCTCCATCTGTTTGTGTCCTCTCTTATTCAATTGGGCAGTAGTTTGTAGTTCTCCTTGAAGAGGTCCTTTACGTTCCTTGTTAGTTGTGTTCCTAGGTATTTTATTCTCTTTGTAGCAATTGTGAATGGCAGTTCGTTCTTGATTTGGCTCTCTTTAAGTCTGTTATTGGTGTATAGGAATGCTTGTGATTTTTGCACATTGATTTTATATCCTGAGACTTTGCTGAAGTTGCTAATCAGTTTCAGGAGATTTTGGGCTGAGATGATGGGGTCTTCTAGATATACAATTATATCATCTGCGAATAGAGACAACTTGGCTTCCTCCTTTCCTATTTGAACACCCTTTATTTCTTTTTCTTGCCTGATTGCTCTGGCTAGAACTTCCAGTACTATACTGAATAGGAGTGGTGAGAGAGGGCATCCTTGTCTAGTGCCAGATTTCAAATGGAATGCTTCCAGTTTTTGCCCATTCAGTATGGTATTGGCTGTTGGTTTGTCATAAATAGCTTTTATTATTTTGAGATACGTTCCATAAATACCTAGTTTATTGAGGGATTTTAGCATAAAGAGCTGTTGAATTTTGTCACAGGACTTTTCTGCATCAACTGAGATAATCATGTGGTTTTTGTCTTTGGTTCTGTTTATATGGTGAATTACATTTATAAACTTGCATATGTTGAACCAGGCTTGCATCCCCGGCATGAATCCTACTTGATCATGGTGGATAAGCTTTCAAAACAGCATGGTACTGGTACCAAAACAGAGATATAGACCAATGGAACAGAACAGAGGCATCAGAGGCAACACAACATATCTATAACCATCTGATCTTTGACAAACCTGACAAAAACAAGCAATGGGGAAAGGATTCCCTGTTTAATAAATGGTGTAGGGAAAACTGGCTAGCCATGTGCAGAAAGCAGAAACTAGACCCCTTCCTGACACTTTACACTAAAATTGACTCCAGATGGATTAAAGACTTAAACATAAGACCTAACACCATAAAAACCCTAGAAGAAAATCTAGGCAAAACCATTCAGGACATAGGAGTAGGCAAGGATTTCATGACCAAAACACCAAAAGCATTGGCAACAAAAACCAAAATAGACAAATGGGACCTAATCAAACTCCACAGCTTCTGCACAGCAAAAGAAACAGTCATTAGAGTGAATCGCCAAGCAACAGAATGGGAAAAAATTTTCGCAGTTTACCCATCTGACAAAGGGCTGATATTCAGAATTTACAAAGAACTAAAACAGATTTATAAGAAAAAAACAAACAAGCCCATTCAAAATTGGGCAAAGGATATGAACAGACACTTTACAAAAGAAGACATACATGAGGCCAGCAAACATGAAAAAATGCTCATCACTGGTCATTAGAGAAATGCAAATCAAAACCACATTGAGATACCATCTCATGCCAGTTAGAATGGTGATCATTTAAAAATCTGGAGACAACAGATGCTGGAGAGGATGTGGAGAAATAGGAACACTTTTATACTGCTGGTGGGAGTGTGAATTAGTTCAACCATTGTGGAAGACAGTGTGGCGATTTCTCAAGGACCTAGAAATAGAAATTCCATTTGACCCAGCAATCCCATTACTGGGTATGTATCCAAAGGATTATAAATCATTCTACTATAAGGACACATGCACACGAATGTTCATTGCAGCACTGTTTACAATAGCAAAGATCTGGAACCAACCCAAATGCCCATCAGTGATAGACTGGACTGGGAAAATGTGGCACATATATACCATGGAATTTTATGCAGCCATCAAAAACAATGAGTTCGTGTCCTTTGTAGGGACATGGATGAACCTGGAGACCGTCATTCTCAGCAAACTGACACAAGAACAGAAAATGAAATACCACATGTTTTCACTCATAGGAGGGTGTTGAACAATGAGAACACATGGTCACAGGGAGGGGAGCACTACACACTGGGGGGAATAGGGGAGGGACAGCAAGGGGTGGGGAGTTGGGGAGAGATAGCATGGAGAGAAATGCCAGATAGAGGTGAAGGGGAGGAAGGCAGCAAATCACACTGCCACGTGTGTACCTATGCAACTATCTTGCATGTTCTTTACATGTACCCCAAAACCTAAAATCCAATTTAAAAAAATGAGTTGCAAGTGATGGTCCAATAGAGGAGACTAGCCTGCAAAAGCTTTGAGAGGAAGTGCAGTTTTTAAGTTTGATTCTGAAAGTCTTCAAACAGGACTTGGATGCTTTTCACAGTTTTTCTATACCCAGCCCAATTCAAACACTTACATTACAAGGCTAGCCATATCGATAAACAACAAAGCATTGTTTTTAGAGCCAGATGAAGGCGAATTTGAATCTCTGCTTCACTTCTTACCAGCTGTGTACTCTTAGACAAATTACATACTCTTTCAGAGCTCACTTTTCTCATCTCTCAAAGGGGATAACAAAACACACCTAGCAGGTTTGTAATGAAGACTAGAAGATGTGCTTTAGCATAGTGTTTGCACACACTAGATGTTCAGTAGTTGTTGGTTCTGACCGCCTCATTTAGGCACCACAATTCCCTAGCCACACTCTCAAATCTTTTAATGGATACCTTGTAACTTGGCTCTGAATGGGGTCATTGCTTCTTCCTTTTGAATGAGCAATTAAGGACTCAGGGGAAAGCCTGTAGCCAGGAATCTAACTAAGTCAACTAAATCCAATAAATGACTTCTTCTATTACATAGAAATCATGGGTGCTCGTAGATACTAATTGGCTGTCTTCTCTACTTTCCTTTACAGCATTTAGTAGTTCCTTAACACAATTTTATTTTGGAGCTTCCTAATTATATTACTCCAGGCACCTATTGTCAATGAGCTTTGCCATGGAAAAAAAAAAGAAGAGTTATTTATGCACTTTTATAGTCCACAAGCATTTATGGAGTAACTGGTGATCTCAGCACTACAGAGCATGCCAAAGTATAAGACGCAGTTCCTGCCTTTAAGGAACTTAAAGACTCACTGGTGAGAAATCATAAATATGTGGGAAATGATTAAATCAGAAGTGTATAAAACAGATGATGAATATTTGAGGGGAATGATATTGTGGGAGAGCCCAATAATGTTATATCTGTAGTTTAGTTTTTAACTATTTTCATATACAAAGAAATGGAGTAGCTAGAGAATGTACCCTGGATCAGGGAAATAGCATAAACAGAGCCTTGGCATCTTGACTGAGCCAGTAGGAGCCTGATCCAGTTGGAGTGAAAGCCCCATTTAAAAAAGTCATTTCATTTCCATAGACATGAGCAAGCTCTAAATGATAGGCATAATGCCACAGGCGTTTTTCCTGCCCTTTCTCCTACTTGGGCCAATATGTCATACTCTAGTGTAACAAAACATTCTAAGTTCTGTGTGAAAAGTATCACTCTCCCATTCAAAAACATAATGGCCCCTTACTACTGCTGAATCTCACTGCTCACTGAATCCAAACTCTTCTGTGGCATTCTTGTAGATCAGAAAAAGCCTCAAAGTTTGGATTGTAGTGCAATTAAGTAAAGAGAGGATAGCAAACTAGCAAACTGGATTTGAATCCCAGTTCAGGCATCACCTAGTTATGTAAACCCCTAAAGAACATAATTCAACCTTTCTTGTGCCTCAAATCCATAACTCATCAGTTGCTGAGGGGGTACAATAATTTAATACATGTAAAGGGCTTAGAATACTGTTTGACACATAGAAAATACTCAAGGAATATTGCCTATTAGTAGAGAAATGAATGTATTAAGGAATGGAGCAAGGGAACCTGGAGAAAAGTTTCTACTCCCAGCCCTTAAAGCTTAGTTCATGGTAAGTAAAGAAAATATACTTATCCCATTTGTGAAATGACATAAAGTGGATAGGAAGAGCAAATATGTTGGATGACAAATAATGATCCAACACGTTCCTAACAAGCAACTGAAAGGGACAGATCTAACAAGATACAAGGAATGGGAGTAAACACAGCCCAGTACTTAGTGTGCTGGTAAACCAGCTCTCTAGAAGATAAAAAGCCCCCGATTCACAGTATTGCTAAATTCTGTGGTATAAAGACTCCTACCACAGCTTATGTCAAGTTACCGTGTGATGTCCTAAACTCAGAATTGGGAAGAGATGCTAGCTAACATTGTTCTAGTACACCACTGAAAACAGAAAGTCCTGAACCAGAGTTTAAAACAAAACTCTGTGTTTAGTATGAAATGAAATGTGGCATACTGCCTGGCCCTAAAGAGTTTCCATGGACTGAGTGACTGTAAATTCAACATGTGAGAGAAGCAGGGAAGTGAAATGGCCTGAGAGCTCTGGTTCTGTAGCCACACATTTATGGATTCAAATTTCTCCTTCCCTGTTTGCTAGGTGCGTGATCTTTGATAAATCACTAAACCTCTTTACTCCTAACTCCCTCATCTCCAAAACGGAAGTGATGATAATAATGTCTGCCTCATAAACTTACTTACAGAGTTGAATGAGAAATGTCATGTTAAGAAAAAGTTTAGCAGGCTGGACACGGTGGTCCACGCCCATAATCCCAGCACTTTGGGAAGCCAAGGCAAGCAGATCCCTTGAGCCCAGCACTTCAAGATCAGGCTAAGCAACACAGCGAAACCCTCTCTCTACAAAAAATATAAATTACCTGGTTGTGGTGACATGTACTTCACGAGGCTGAGGTTGAGGGATCTCTGGAGCCTGGTGGGAGTGTGAGGCTATAGTGAGCCAAGATCAACCACTGCACTCCAGCCTGGATTACAAAGTGAGACCCTGTTTCAAAAAAAAAAAAAATTACTATGCTAACAAGTGTATTAGTAGAGGAGAGAAATGAACATGTTAATTAATGGAGCAACTAAACCTGGAGAAAATTTCTACTCCCAGCCCTTAAAGCTCAGTTCGTGGTCCAGTGAAGACATAGAAAATATAAAGAGGTAAAGATATACAGAAGAAATAAAGTTTAGCAATAAGAAAAGGACAAGCAAGCACAAGGGGAAAAAATGGGCAACATAATGTGAATGAGCTATAGTTGCCATAACATACTACCCAGGGCTCCTCATTTAAAACAACAGCTATCTGTGCTCTGATTTCTGTGGGTTGACAGTTAGGGCTGAGCTCAGTCTCATGTTTGCAGTCAGCTGACAGTCAATGGCCTCAATCATGTGTTTGGCAGTTGGCTAGACTAATGGAGGTCACCAGGCCACGTGTCTCTCATTATTCAGCAGACTAGCCCAGGCTTTTTCACTTGGTGGTGGTTTCAGGGAAACAAGAAACAGCAACAATGCACAAGCACTGTCCAAGTCTCTTGAGCCTCTTCGAGTCTCACATTTTCTTACCTTCTTAGCCAAAGGAAATCACATGTCTATGCCCAGAATCAATATAATGGGAATTACCCAAGGATACAGATTCAGGGAGGAAAATTACTATGGCTATTTTTGCAATCTGGCACAATGTAAGAATAGGAAATAGATAAAAGAAAAATTCCAAATGGCAAAAAAAAATGTATGATAAGATGTCCAACCTCACTAGCAAAAGGAAAATGCAAATTAAAATGAGATATCATTTCTTGTTTATCGGCTTGGTAAACAAAAAGCCTTATAAAACTAAGGAATGATTTAAAATGGGGAAATAAGAAATCCTATACACAGCTACCAGAGCATAGACAAATTATGACACACTCATAGAATTCAGTAACTAAAATTAGGTTCTTAATCAATATTGAAAACAGAATTCTGAGTTATAGAATATCAGACAATAAGATTTGATATTTTATATATGATTTTTATAAATATAATGTAATAAAATTATAAAACATGGTAGGAATAATATACACCAACTTCAGAATAATATTTGTTCTGATGAAAGAATGAAAATCAAAGAATGAGAAATAAAGAAGGCTTTGATTTTATCTGTATATTTAATTCATCCAAAAATGTGAAGTAATCTTGGTAAAATAGCAGGATAGTGGATGGTAAGGAGGGGAGGTGGGGATGGTTAGTAGGTACAGAAACAGTAGAAAGAATGAGTAAGACCTACTATTTGATAGCACAACACAAGAACTGAAGTCAATAATAACTTACTCATGCATTTTAAAATAATTTAAATAATGTAACTGGATTGTTTGTGACTCAAAGGATAAATGCTTGTGGGGACGAATACCCCATTCTCCAACATGTACTTATTTCACATTGCATGCCTGCATCAAAACATTGCAAGTACCCCCAAAATATATACATATATATATACATATATATATATACATATATATATACATATATATATATACATATATATATATATATACCTACTATGTACCAACAAAAATTAAAAGCATAAATAAATAAAAAGGAAAAGTAAAATAAAAAAGAAAATATATGAAAATTAAAATTATAAGAAAAGCAAAAAAAGAAAGAATATGTGTTAAATTCCAGAGGTTAAATTCATGAGCATTTGCTATGTTCACAATGTTTGAAATATTTCATCATTAAAGTGACATTTAAAGAAGTAATCGTTGACATCTTCTTTAGGAAGAAAAGGTGGAGGAACAAGTTTTGTAGCTGTTTAATTGGCTGCCTAAAAAATGTGCTTTTAGGTCACACTTACGGAAGTACAGAATGTAGAAAGAAGGTGTGTACAATCCTGCTCTACTCTGTACTGTCAGACCATGCCATGCTGGAGCACACTTTAGAAAGGACATACACAAATGTGAGGGTGGCCATCCATTCTGCCAGCCACACTGCTCGAGTCCCTACTTGTGCTGCCAGTGTAACAGGCCCTCAGGATACCACAGAGGACCCAGCATCTTGTGTCTCCGCTCTCAGAGGGGTTTGGACTACCATCCTGAAAGACACAATCCCACACACCATCATCTCAAATATTGAAATCCTTAAGAGATCAAAATTCCTAAACAGAAGATGGGAAAGTTGAATAGGAAATCCTCATGTCATATATCAAATCACAGAAGAATATGAAAAAGAGCAGCACTACATAGAATATGAATATGAAAATATTCTCCTAGGAAAACCATGTCCTAATAGGGGAAAAAAAGCTATTTATCATGGTGCAAAACTTCAAAATATAGTCAATGATGATACAAGTTAGCCAGCCTTATGGACTACCTCTATGCAATTGCTATAATCTATCCCTGTAATATGCTTTTCTGTATGTTGAATGTTTTTTTCTTTTTGTCAGCCTTTTTCATTACTTTAAATTGTTAACATCATATTTTACAATTTGCTAGGCTATGTATTTCACCTTTACATCATTTTCAATATTGGAGATATAAATTGCATAGTGATTTTTAGAGTTCTAGTAGGTTTTATGCATTGTTTTGCAAACTTGACTCCATGAAAATGCATTATCATAATGTTGACTTTGTGTATGAGCATTGTTCATGTAAGTAAAAATGTTGAAACTTCCTCAATAAATGAAAAGATGTTCTTTTAGTTCATCTGCATTTGTGATAAATAAAATGTCTGAAGATCTCGACTCTTTGGGAGACTGCATATATGATGGTGATCCACGACGGTTTTTTAAATTAATCTCTTTAAAAAACTGTTAGGTTGCTGATATCAGTATTTCATATGACTGCAATTATAAAGTTGTATATACAACTGTAATGATGTGTGTTTATATATTTCCCTTTTCACCTATTTATGAATACAGTTCATTTTCTCATAACTGTTATATCCATGTAGCTGTATATCTGAGTGTTTATGCCTGTAAAAATATTTGTTATAATTGACTATTTTATTGTATAAAGTGGCCTGTCAAGTGTTCTGTTACATTTTATGTTTCTCAAATAAGTTCCCTTTTAAAATGTAAACATATATCTTTAAAATAGTTTTTTTATTGTTTTTCCCAAAACTGTATTTTTGGGATTGTGATCTTTCAGGATTTCCACATTCAAGATGATGGCATTCAGGATTGTGTCTTTCAGGATTATGATCAGCTCCCTTCCTGCAGGCTTACCTTGTCTCCCAATCAACATATACAGCAAACTTAAGAGCACATAGGATATGGAGGATGAGGCAGTGGAGAGTGGATAGCATGACCAGGGTGATGAAAAACCACCCAAGCTCAGTTGTGTGGGGAAGAATGACAAGGCTGCCCACCCCTACCTCTCTCCCACACTGACTCTTAGTCTACAGAGAACGCTGGGCTTTAGATAGGTGCTCTCTGGGTACCTGCCTGCACAGATACACTCAGCATAGCCAGGGAGAAATCTGACTATGTGCCCAGGGATCTCACTGGAGCTTTCCCTGAAGCCCAGCCTTAGTGAACCCAGGAGAACTTCACCCTCAAGCAAAGCAGAGGATCAGGGCAATGTGCTCCATCTATCAGCTCCTCAGCAGCCTTTATCCCTTCAAGGCTGAACTGCAAAAACTGTTATTTTTTGCTGTACTGTATTTTTATTTCTTTTCAACTCCCTATTTCCTATTCAGTAATTATTGCCAAGAAATATTCACAGAAAACTGCTAGGTTTCTGACAGTCTGTCATGTGGGAGCTCTTCCTGTGCACTGCCTGGAGACTGGAGTCTGGCTGGGTGAGGTGCAGGGAGAGTGGTTCTGGCCACCATAAGGAAAATGTCTAAGGCTGTTGAGTTGAGACCTGGAGCAGGTAGCCTCCTCAGAGGTTCGCCAAGAGAAGACACAGGAACACTGAAGAGCAAGTGGCTGGTTGGCCTTAAGACTTCTATAAAATGTCTTCATTGAGTTTTTCTGATTATAGAATAATTGTAAAACCGTAAAAAATTAAAGAAATGTTTAAGGCAGTGTGGCTCCATAATTTTATCTTGCAGGGAAAACCACTATTCACACTTTGATCTGTATCTTTTCAGACATTTTTCACTGCATATGCAAACTTTTGGATATGAAAGGGGGATCATGATATATATATATAGATTGCCTTGCAACTTGCTTTCCCTCCCGCCATAATGTTATATTTTGGAAGCCTTCCCCATATCTGGATCTGCATGACTATTCATTCTTTTTATGGGTTGCAGTATTTATTCCTTCACAAATACTTACCAAATGTGAGCACCCATTTAATGTTAGACACTCTTGTAGGCACTAGGAAACAGGATGATAAGCAAAATAGTTTCGTCTTCATAAAACTTTACATTCTAGCAGAGAGAAAGAAATATGCAAACAAAAAAATATCAAATAATGTCTAAGAAATACATGCTATGAAATAAAACAAAGAAGGTTAGGGGATCATTGTGCAACAAAGAATTCTGTTTAAAATTGCATAGTCATAGAAGACTTCTCCCAGGGATTCGGTATCAGTGATCTATTGCTGTGTTACAAATTACCTCAAGACTTAGTGTTCAAAACAACAGTATTCATGATCTCAGAGTTTCTGTCAAATGGGAATCCAGGAGAAGCTTAGCTGAATCCTCTGCTTCAAGATCTCTCAGGCTGCAGTTGAGTTGCCAGCCAGGCCTGCAGTCATCTGAAGGTTCTTAGCAGAAATTAGTTTCCTACAGGCTGTTCTCTGAGAGCATCAGTTCCTCACTGGCTATTGGCTGAAGGTCTCCCTCAGTTTCTTGCCATGTGGGCTTCTCCACAGGGCAGCTCACACCATGGCAGCCTGCTTTCTCACAAGCAAGAATGCCAGGGAGAGGGAGACAAAGGGAGAGAGGAAAAGCATGCAAGATGAAGTCATAGTATTTTATAATCAGATCTCAGAGGTGACATCTCTCCCCTTTTAAAATATTCTTTTCATTATTAGTAAGTCAGTAGGTCCAGCTCACACTAAAGGGGTAGGGAATCACACAAGATGTGAATACCAGGAGGGCAGATCATTAAGGGTCACTTTCGACGCTGTTCACCACATGTTGATATTTGAACAGAGGTATAAATAGAGTGAGGAGACAGCCATGTTAATATCTGAGGGAGAAAACCTTCCAAGGGGCAACAGCAGGAACAAAGGCCCTAAGGATAGAACTGCTTTGGTCTGTGAAACAGCCATAGCCCCCCAGGGGCTGGAGCAGGGGGAGAGGAAGAGCAGTGGGAAATTAGGGTGAGAAGGAGGAAGGGACCAAATTATACTGGGCCTTATAGGCCATGGGAAGGACTTGGGGTTTATTTTAAGAGTAACAAGAAGCCACAGTATTTCCTAGTTTGTATTATCATAATTTACTTGCTTAAACTACTGATGAAGATCATTGATTTTCTGTTTCTAAAAATGCCACACCCTACATATATGTATGTGTATACATTTATGCTGCAGGTATGTATGTATCTTCAGGGGACTTTTTCTGGACAAAAAAGTATGTGCACTTAAAATGTAGATACACACATATTGCCAAACTGCACTCATAAACACTTTCCCAATTGGCTTGCCAATCAAAATTGTGCAAAAGTAGGGTCCTGGCCAACATTAAATAGTATTACACTTTTGAGTCTTTCTTAATCCAGTGCAGGAAACTGGCATTTCATTGTGGTTTGTATTTGTTTCCTCTCTTAAGTGGATGAACATTTTTGCATCTGTAAGAAAGATGAATCTCTTTGCATCCTTCTGTTTCATTCTCTGCAGGATCTGGGGTGAGGGGGGGGGTTTCAGGATCCTCTACTCTGACTGTCTCTAATGGTAGCTGGCCTACAGCCCAGGAGCTGTCCAGCTGTCCAGCATTGCTTCCCTTTGTTTCCTGTGGTCTCAAGGTGCACTGCGGCCTTCCTGCTGCTGAGCCTTTGCCTGACTGCCTTTCCACACACACACCTCTTTCCACTTGTCAGACTCAGGCATCTCCTCAGTGTCTGGCATCCAGCTGCTTCTGCCATGCTCTCCATCAGATCACAGGTGCTCAGAAGCTCCTCTACAGATGCCAGGTGGCCCGGTGAAGTAATGGTCAGAGAGGTGTACACCAGGCTTCTATCCAGCTCCAGCTCTTATAACTCCCTGATCTTGGGCAAAGTGCCAAAAGCATGTGTCTCCATGCTTTCTCTAAAGGGAGGTCAGAAATAATAGTCCCTTCTTAGGTATGCTGTTATAGGATTAAATGCAAAAGTTAAACAAAATACTAAGAATAGTACCAAGTGCTTAGTAGGTAGTCAGTAAATATGAACTCTTACCATCATCCTACCTATCTGAGTGCATTCAAGATGCAGTGAGGGCATCTGAGCTCCTGGAAGGCAAAAACAGTACCTTATTCATTTTTTTAATTCCAGAAGTACGTCATACAGTTCCCTGTACAAAACAGCATTCAACAATGATTTGTATAATTATTTGTGTATGTGTTAAATCAAGGAATTCACACCTGAATGAATGAATGAATGAATTGAATGTGCAGCCTTAAGATGGAGGGATTTAACTGCCAACTGTTATCTTGTGTACAATTGGGAATTCTTGAAGGATCTCATGAAGATTAAATAACATAAAATAATGTTTTAAGAAGGAATTTAAAGAATAAGTAAATTTGCAAATAAGATTTTTTTAAACCTGCAGATTTCCCCAGTTCCCATGAAGGCAAGTGGCCAAAACACATTTGGAAAAATGTTTTAAGCTGTCTGTTCTTCAGACCATGCATGCATAGGTTCCCTAGCCCTCCCCCAATTTCTGTACCCCACCCTACCTCCCAGTGGCCCATTACCAGGCAAAGGCCCCTCTAGAGATGAGCACACAAATGTGCTCACTGTTTTTGCCTCAGGTGCTCTCTCCAGCATGCACAGTGGTTTAAAACAGAGGCAAACAACCACAGCCCACAGGCCACATCCAGCTCCCAGATATATTTTGCTTCATGCACACAGTATTTTCTAAAAATTAAATTAAAACTCAGGAGATATAAATTTTTTAAAGTACAGATACCTTTCAAAATCTGAGGTCTGGCCACAGGGACTAGCACTTCCTCATGGAATCACTGATCTTTTTCATGAACCCCCATAGCAGTGGGCCCCTTAGGACAGGCCTGCACTTTGTTTTCAGGTCCCCAGGACCCTGCCTTCTTATCTCATTGTTTATGTTGAATGGATGCCGAACCACATGAGTTTTCAACTTTTGTTTTAAAAGTTTCATTCCAAGTAGACATTGGCCTTGCCTTTCACTAATCAAATACTCATTAATGAGTATTTCAGCCCCAAATAATTCCTCAAACATATAAATCAACAGTTCCTTAATTCCTGACATGGTTTTGCAGAAAAAGCTCTATAATAGGATATATTCAAGCATTGTCTACAATTCTAACCTCTTAGATACTGAGTACTTGCTTGGCTACCACTTTTTTCAAGGTGTACCTAAGATATTTTGGGGAACATGGCCTGGGAAGGTCCATAGGCTCTCAACAGTTAAAGAGAAAACCCAACACTCACAGAGATAATCTCTTAGAAATAGGAGCAACTCTGCCCATCTTCAGCCCCTTACCAATGGAGGTGATACAAGAGAGATGACACAGCAATCCACTGGATAACCTCTTAGATACTGAGTACTTAGGTCATCCGCAGAGGAAGCCGGGGAAGAAGAAGACCCATTGCCATTGCTCAGAATTCTAGAAACAGACTCTGAGATGGAGATGTATGTGCAGAAGTTTTGTCAGGGCGGGAACTGGGAAATGCAGAAGCCTCAGATAATCCTGCAGGAAGCTTGGGAGCTGCGGAGTATTCAGAGTTATCCTCCAAATTGGGGGGCCAGGCAAGGGGGCCAGGCCTTTGTAACCCCTGTATTAACCAATCATTGAAGTAGAGTATTATTTCGTGAAAGGTAGCTCACCAGCCAGAAGCAGTTCCCAGAGAGGGATTTGGCTATGGCCATCAGTAGCCAACACTCTCAGCACGAGCAGATAAGTGTATCAGCCCTGAAAGGGAATCTGACTGGAATTCACAGATCCAATACATCCACCTTCCTCCTTTAAGCTAAAATAGAACAAACTTCTTCCCAGCCACTGGCAGCAACTGCCATGTGAAAGCCGGAAGGTAAGGCCTGGAGGCAAGGCTCTGGAGTATTGGTTCTAACATTTAACTCTGTGAAAGGGAGTACTCTTTCTGAAGCACAGTTCTGGATACAGTGCTACAATATTCAGAAATCCTCAGAGACTCCTGATTTTCTTCAGAATGGTGTACAAACTCCTTAGCCTGGAATTCTGGGCCCTTCATCATCAGGTCCAGGATACCTGTTCAGCTTATCTCTCATTGTCTCCTGCAAAGCTCAATACTGCACAGTATTCTCCAAGCAGTCTTCATAGTTCACCTCCTTCATGCCTGTATTATTCGTCATTCCCTCTTCCTAGAAAAACCGTACCTCCCATCTTCATATATCTAAATCTTATCCAACTTTCTGGGTTCAACCTAAAGACTTCCCCAGTTCCATCTAACTGGAAGCAATCTTCTCTGATCTTGTAATAGCATTTTTTTTGCCATGAATTATATTCAATTTCTCCCATATACTTAACCATAAACTCCTTGAAGGCAGGACTTAAGTCTCATTAAGTGTCTTGTGTATCATAAATATTCATTTCATTTTTCTTTGTTGAGATGGAGTCTCGCTCTCTTGCCCAGTCTGGAGTGCAGAGGTGCAATCTCGGTTCACTGCAACCTCTGCCTCCCAGGTTCAAGCAAGTCTCCTGCCTCAGCCTCCTGAGTAGCTGGGATTACAGATGCATGTCACCATGCCTGGCTAATTTTTATATTTTTAGTACAGATGGGGTTTCACCATGTTGGTCAGGCTGGTCTCGAACCCCTGACCTCGTGATCAACCCACCTCAGCCTCCCAAAGTGCTGGGATTACAAGTGTGAGTCACTGCACCCAGCCCTCATTTAATTTTTATGTACAACTAGATGGATAGACGGATAGATGGGCATATAGGTGGACAGGAATACAATTGGGAGAATGACAGGCTGAGGATAGATTCCAGCCATTGAAATGATGTCTTTACTGTCTTTTCTTCATTCTGTTCCTTAGCTCTGTATATCCTATTTAATTTATGAATAAGAGGCAGATTTGTCTAAAAAGAACTAGGTTATATTTTCCATATTGAAATATTCAAATTGCTTACTGAGCACTGGAGGCAGTGGGGAATCACTGAGCCCCCTTTTCAAGCTTGTTACCACATTTGTGCATAAGAAGGAAACAGTGCCTAAGTTCCATTGGAGCTTACCACAAAACAGCCCCTAAGCCAGCTGTTATATTTCAAG